AAGTGGTGCTGTGGCTCAAGTGGTAGAGCGCTAGCTTTGAGCTGAAGAGCTGAAGGACAGCACCCAGGCCCAGAGTTCAGGCTCCACGACCAGACACCCCCCCCCCAAAAAAAAAATGCAATTGACAGGGATGTAGCTCAGTGCAGACCCAAAAAAAAAAGGAACAATTTTTTTGGAGTTACTGAGTTTTTATTAGAGAAGTACCTAGAGGATAGTACTGAATGAGAATAGAGTCTATTTAGGATAATGTGGTAGAAGTGAAATTATTACAGACTGACCCTCCTCCTCCTCTTGTTAAACTTATTTTCTTCTCAGGAAGGAAAGGAATAGACATAGGGTTAACTAAGCTTGTCAGACTCCCTCACCTCTGTGGAGCTTTTTTTTTTTAATTTAGAAATTTATTCTGTTTAATCCACAAGCTTTATATAGCTTTAGTTAAAAAAAGACAAACAATAACAAACAAAAAAGAAAAAACAGTGAAACCAAGATACTACATTCCAAATATAAAAGAATTCTGAAAAAAAGTTGTATATATCAAATTGGAAGAACAAGACAAAAATAGGAATGGAGCCATGACATCCATGAAACAAAATTTTATATAACTGAAGGATCCTTCCAGGACTAGTTAATTGCCTTTACAACAACAACAAAAAAAAAATCAATCAGAACAGAATAGAATGAAATTCCAGTGTTCTGAATCAACTTGTTACACATCAATATAACCCCACAGTGTCCTAGCAAACAACATGCTCGCATTTTGCCTTATTCTAGAGCTCAAATCTTGATTCTTTTCAGCAGAGACTCCACAGGCAATAGGAAGGGCTGTGGCATTGAAACCCTCATTTATACTTTTGTAAGTTCAACAATGGTCGTATCTCTGGGCAAGCTTTCAAACCATGTACGGTTGGAAGCATAACTTACATGGGTGTTAAGATCCAAGAAAAAGTGAAGGACCAAAAAAGAAAGGAGAGAGACAAAAAAAACACCCTCTGGAATAACCAGGGGCATTTAAAGGAACCAGAAGAATGCAAACAATATTTAAACCTCCTTTTTCGAAAAGGAGACTATTTTTTTTTGGCTTAAAATACTTCACTGTAAATGAATTATGTCTGATTTTTAAAAAAAAAGATGTAAAACGAGGGCTGGGAATGTGGCTTATTGGTAGAGTGCTTGCCTAACCTGATAAGGCCCTGGGTTCGATTCCTCAGTACCACATTTTTTAAAAAAGTCATTAAATCATAAAATACAGTTTTTAAAAAGATAGTGAACAATTTGAAATACAATGTCAATATGTATAAGTAAGACAACAGTTGGCCGCCTTCTTTTCATGTGAATTTGGCACAAAGGTATATAATCCCTTATAAATTCTTGAGATAATTCCTTCTCCAACTTCCAACCACTGATATAATAAAAAAGAAAACAGGAGGAAAAGCTTTGGTTCTTACCACTGCCCTGGCAGGCCATCACATGGTACCATTGCTTTGGACAGCTGTTGTGAGGGGAGAGGCCTGCGTCAACCAGATAATTGTTTATCTTTAGTTATCATCAGTCTTCCACCTTATTCAGTTCTGCTTTTGAAAACTACCAATTTTGAAGAAAAATACATTTAGGTCTACTACTAACCATGCTTGCTATTGACTGAAGTGAGATAGATGGATGGCTAGATGTATAGATAGAGATAGATCCATCATTTGACTGTTAGATAAATGTGAAAGCCTGGTACTTGTGGCTTATGCTATCTCCTAGCTACCTGAGCCAAACTAGGCAGAAAGATTGCAGAAACCTCTCAGCCCATCTCTGGACATGGTGATATACACCTGTGACCCTAAGCAATATGGGAGAGTGAGATTAGAAGGATTATGATTCCAGGCCAGGAAGAAGTCTGTAAGACTCTATCTCAGCAGAAAGAGGCTGGGCTTATTACCCCACCAAAGACAGAATATGTAAAATAGGTTCACTGTAATCCATGCACACTCCTAAGCAAGAAGCAGGATTCTATCTCAAAAATAACTAGCGTACAAAAGGGCTGGAGGTATGGCTCAGTGGTAGACTACCTGCCTAGCCAGCAAAAGGTCCTGAGTTCAAGTACTGCCAAAAAAAAGAGAAGGAAATTTGAATATGTGGAGATATATCAACCCTTGATATAGCTTCAGCTGTGTTTCTTTTCCATGATTTTACATTTTAAAATATGATCTGATATGGATGATCTCATTTAAACAACATGATAAGAGTTTATGTAAATTTCTCATTTTTCATTCATATTATATGTGCAGATGACACACACAGAGCTAAAAACTCCCTTGTAAAAATATGACTATACCAACAAGTCTGCAGTTATGGATAAACAAATATACAAGGGGGGAAATGTGTAAGTTTGCTTGCCAATTTTATTTTTTTGAAACAGTTTGACTACCTAAGATAATTTTGAAGTCTTTGAAACATGAGAAACAGTACTGTGAAGACATCCCTTCCTATTTGTCCCCCAACACGTAACAGCCACGCACATATTCATGAATATAATATACACATGGGTGCGTGCAGGAATACACATAGACCCCCTGTATCATCTATTCCTTGAAAAGAGCAATCTTTGTGACCAGACAGAATCATAAGTAAATCTTTCTCTAAGTCTTATGCTAGGTTTTTTTTTTCCTTCCTTATATGATTAAAACACTCAGGTTCACTTTAAATATGTGTTTTTATTTTTTAAAGAACCATAAAAACGATAGGAACAAGTTCATTATTTGGTTAACTTAATGTAAACCAAATCAATCAAACCCTGGTTGTCTTGTTCTTCATTTTAATCACCAAGTTTTCCTCCTAAGTGAACATTCAACTTTTTCCAGACTTTCTTGGGATTTCCATAGCATAGAAGAGATAGGAAACGAAAGCAAAGAGGGTTAATATTCTATAAAATAACATCTTCCTTTGTAAAACTGTTTTTCTCCTCTGCACACTTCCTCAGTGTGTTAAAGGAAGTGTCAGAATGTCATAGTGGAAAACAGTGTTCCAAATACATGTTAGACAGTTCATACTGCATCTCATTAGCTTGAACAATAGGTGGTACTATTATCTTTCTAACTCCAGTCAGAATAATTGAAGGAAAAGATTCTCAGATAGATTTTAAAACTAGTAAGATTTCTGTTCTAGCTTTCCTCTTCATCAGAATGAAAGGGATAAGGTATCATTAGGTAGGTAGTTGGTGCTACATTTCCCATTTTATAACTGAGGAAGTTGAGGCTTAGAGATTAACACTGTGTAGACACAATACCTCTTTTAAGAGCTGGAATTCAGACTTTGACAATCTGACTTAAGAGGCCTGGACTCCTCCTACCCACTAATCTGAATGTCTCCCTGTCAAATATTATGATATAAATGTGGGGTTTTAAAATATCATTTCCATTTTTTCTTATTCCTTTCAGGATTTTTATGTTGACAGGACTTTAAGTGCCAAAATTTTCTCTTTCAACGTTTTTTTAAAGCCAGCTAAGCTGATAGATTCAATGTTCACTACCATGATCAGGGCCCAAAAGTGGTCATTTACTTGAGTCTGCTAAAGCAGAGAATGATTTTCTTTTTTAATGACATTTGCATGCCTTATTATTTCATCTTAAATATGAGTTTGCAAGGTAATCTATACAATACTGATTATAATTAAGCTATCTTTCTAATCTAATCTACATTGTTATATATTTTCTGTGTATTTTCTAAGTTTCCAAAGTCAGTTTCTGTAAAATACAACATGAAGTAACAAAACTGCTGATTATAGGGTCCTTCTAGGTTTTTTCCTCCACTTAATTTAACAGCAATATTTTCAAATAACTTACCCTATAATTCTCTCAAAACCTTTAAATATTCTTTTAAAAATATCCTGTCTGTTTTTAAAACAGTTCTTTTTCATCACCTTTATACAATGTTAGTTTCATTACTTAACAAGTGATAAATCATTTAAAAATGAGCAACTCTGTGACAACTGTTTAACTCGTCTCTTTCCATCTTGCAGAAGGCCTTCTAAAGCAACTCTCAGCTTCACTGAGTACAGCTTGCCTTTGTGGTGTTTATCTCACTAGTGTTTCTCAGTCTAGACTTCTCTAGTTTTTCTCAGCCTCACGATGAGAAAAGCTACAAGCAAATGAAGTGTTTGAACCCTCAAATGTGGTGAGGCAAGAGTAAAGTAGCAGACTCCATTATACTGTTTTAAATGCTTAGCAGTTTATTTTTCTTTCCCAGTGAGAGGATCAAACCCACCTAGGAAGGTGGCTCAGTGGAAGAATGCTTGCCTTGCATGCATGAGGCCCTGGGTTTGACTCCTCAGCACCACATAAGCAGAAAAAGCCAAAAATGGTGCTATGGCTCAAGTGGTAGAGCTCTAGCCTTGAGCTGAAAGCTGAGGGACAGCATCCAGGCCCAGAATTCAGGCCCCATGACCAACAACAACAACAACAAAAGACAAAAACAAAAAGGCAAGGTCTCACACATCCTGAACAATACAATGCCTTGCCAAGGAACCCACCCCTTGCCTGCAAAGGATTTTCTTAACCATTAATTTTATTTTAGAAGAGCATTTGAGAATCTTCACTAGGACCGAAGTGCATGTTTATGGCACATACTCTCTTTCTTTGCAATATTTCTTTCCCAGTAAATTTTCACCTTAAAAAAGAAATCTATATTAAAAGTCAAGAGAATGTAGCTCAGTGGTAGAATGCATGCTTAGCACACAAGAGGCTATGGATTTATGTACCTTATTTTTGTCATTTAAAACACTAGAAACCTGGTATCAGTGTCTCATGCCTGTAATCTTAAGCTACTCAAGAGGCTGAGATCTGAGGATCACAATTCAAAGCCAACCCAGTCAAGAAAATCTGTGAGACTCTTATCTCTAGTTCACTACCAAAAAAGTCAGAAGTGGCGCTGTGGCTCAAGTGGTAGAGTGCTTGCCTTAAGCAAAAGAAGCTCAGGGACCACATCCAGGCCCTGAGTTCAAGCCCCAGGAGCAGCACACAAAAAGAGAGACAGAGAGACAGACAGAGAAACAAAGAGAGAGAGAGAGCACTAGAATAAAAATGTGTCTCTAAAGTTTAGAAGCATGCAAAACAGCTCAAATTCATAAGATCCATAAAAGTTCATTGTATTAAAAGCCAAATAGCTTCCATAAGCATTCTAGTCAAAAACACTTCTCTAAATTCCTCTCTGTAAACTCTCTTGACTATTTCTTCTACTTAACTATTTTCTCCTAAATAACATGCTTGTGTATTATCTCTACATTTATGAATTTCTGACATTATCTGCTGACTGGATAGAAGGATTTGACTTCCTGGCATTGCCTTATTCCTTCTCACCCCATACTCCTGGTATTTAAATATTTAGATGTAGATATTCCAACTTTAGATTAAATCTGCATTGGTGATGGCTGTGTAAACAAAGCTAAGCCAAGAATGTATACTATGACCACATTTCATTTTTAGTATAATTTTTTTGTTCCTAGCATTAATTAGTTTTGTCTTTGCTTAATTTTCTGTGAAATGTAATGGATTCTTTCCAACTCCAGGGAATTGCAAGTAATTGCTGTTTCCTCAAGGTTAATATGTTATTATGTTGATCGGACTTAAAATGCTATAATTTTCTTGAGTAGCATATACTGCATATTCAAAATGATCACTATTCTGCCATTTACGTTCCCAGACCTGTCTCCTCTGAAGCTCACTCCCCTTATTATTTCAGTAGACCATTTTCACCATTTATAGCTGGATACAGATGTGTAGAGTACTACACTGGCTAACTCAATGTTTAATAAATGTTCTTGGAAAAATGGTTGAGAGAAGAAATATATTTGGATTAATTCTGTGCACTGAAATTTCAGGTGTTTAAATAAGTTAAACCAAAAATACGTACATTAGAAGAATCTAATTATCTCAACTGTCCAATACAAGCTGTTTTGGCTCAATTATGGAAATAAGAAAACATTGATTGGGGCTGGGAATGTGACTTAGTGGTAGAATGCTTGCCTAGCATGCATGAAGCCCTGGGTTCGATTCCTCAGGACTACATAAACAGAAAAAGCCATGAGTGGCACTGTGGCTGAAGTGGTAGAGCACTAGCCTCGAACACAGAGAGGCTCAGGAACAAAGCCCAGGCCCTGAGTTCAAGCTCCAGGACTGGCAAGAAAGAAAGAAAGAGAGAGAGAGAAAGAAAACATTGTTGACAAGGTTAATGACAGTAATTTTAAAAATTCATGTGCATTGAAAATAAAGCTGAAATGAAATAAAGTAGGGAGAATGTTTACATTATTGGATAAGTATTTGCAATTATTAGATAAGGTAGATATTCATCAAAAGGTATTAAAGTTTTTGTTTTTCATGGGGCTGGGAAGGTGGCTCAGTGGTAGAGTGCTTGCCTTGCATGCCTGAGGCCCTGGGTTTGATTCCTCAGCACCACATAAGAAAAAAGAAAAAAGCCGGAAGTGGCGCTGTGGCTCAAGTGGTAGAGCGCTAGCCTTGAGCTGAATTGCTGAGGGACAGCGCCCAGACCCAGAGTTCAGGCCCCACGACTGGACCCAAAAAAAAAAAGTTTTTGTTTTTCAGAGCAGGGAATCAACATCCTAGTTCATATTAGACAAGCACTAACCCCTGTTTGTTTTGGGTTGGTTTGGGTTTTTTTATTTATATTTTATTTTATTTTTTATTTTTATTTATTAATTTACGTGCTCAGTGTGGGGCTTGACTCAGGGCCTGAACACTGTCCCTGAGCTTTTTTGATCAAGGCTACCATACTCTACCCACTTGAGCTGCCACTTCACTTCTGGCTTTTTTTTTTTTTTTTTTGATAGTTAATTGGAAGTAAGAGTCTCATGAACTTTCCTGCCAAGGCTGGCTTTGAACTGTGATCCTCAGCTCAACCTCCTGAGTAGCTAGGATTACAGATATGAGCCATCAGTTTCCAGCTGAGGTTTTTTCTTTTTTTACTTTGGCTCAAGATCATAGTTTTCTAATAAACAGGGAAAAGGCAGAACACAAAACTATATATGTCATTGGTAATATTAATTTTGCTTCTGGATCAACTTGCTCATAAAACTGTGGTTGTGAAGGAAGGAGAGCCAAGGAGACTAGAAATAAGAGATGTGAGGAACATCTGTGTGGTGATGGAACAATCTATTCTTGATTTGCATGGCTAGTTACAAAAATCTACATATGCCGGGCACCAGTGGCTCACGCCTATAATTCTAGCTATCAGGAGGCTGAGATCTGAGGATCACAGTTCAAAGCCAGTGGGCAGGAAAGTCTGTGAGACTCCTATCTCCAATTAACCACCAGAAAACCGGAACTGGTGCTGTGGCTCAAGTTTGTATAGCGCTCGCCTTGAGCTGAAGAGCCCAGGGACAACGCGCAGGCCCAGAATTCAAGCCCCATGACCAACAATAACAACAAAAATCTACATGTGACAAAATGACATAAGTCTATCCACAGGCATTACATGAGTGCCAGCTTTTTAGTTTCATTGTTGGAATTCATCAAAAGGTTAATCACTCAGGAAAATGGGGGCAGTACAAAGGGCTTCTCTATAGAATTTGCAACTTCCTGTGAATCATCATCAATGCAACAGTTTCTCAAATCTTCTAAAATAGTTGGCATATGTTTACAGGGGAATTTTGGAGTATTTGGAGATTGGGTTTTCGTTTTCTCTCATCAAACTGTATGTATGTGTGCATGGGACACGCACCAGTCCTGGAGCTTGAATTCAGGGCCTAAACACTGCCCTGAGTTTTTGCTCAAAGCTAGTGTTCTAGCACTTGAGCTACAACTCCGCTTCCAGTTTTTTGGTGGTTAATTGGAAATAAGTGTCTCACAGACTTACCTACCCACACTGGCTTCCAATCCTCATCCTCAGATCTCAGCCTCCTGAGTAGCTAGAGTTACAGGCATGAGGCACTGGTGGCCTGTGCTGTATATTTTCTTTGAAAGCAATAGAGATTTCACATAGGTTTTCTACCAACTGGATATTTTGTTTTGTTTGTTTTGTAGTATGTGCCAAGAATGGTAACTTCAGCACAACAGAAAGCTTCAAAAACAATTACAGCCCGGATTACAGGGAGATGTGATTTTGCTTCAAAGAATAGAATTAATAGCAGTTTGGCTATAATGGGAGTTTCTCCTCCCATGAGCTCCGTTGTTGTGGAAAAACATCATCCAGTCACAGTGGTGAGTCTGCATTGAACCACGAGTCCATGGTCTTTTTCCTGAAAGTTTGTATACTGAGAAAACCTTCAAAGGAGTTTGGGAAATATAAAAATTTGTAATGTCTGACACCTGTTTTGCCTTCTCTTTCTGTCTCCATATACTCCATTTACCATGTCTTTTTTCTGTCTGTTAAGAAATTGGTTTCAGAAACATTTCTTCTTCTACCAAATAGCATAAAAAAAGAATCCAGTGTGCTGGTGGCAAAAATGGTAAAACATATAATGATATAGAACAAAAACTGTGTACCCATGAACCAGCTGCTTGTGTAGCAGAATTGATTAGAAGAAAACTTCTTCTACTTTTAACTTTGCTCCTGGGTTTTTTTGGTGTTTGTTTTTGGCTTTTTTACCTCCTTCCCCTTTTATCAATACAATTGTCTGCATATTTCTAGTATTAAAAGAAATTCAGTTGCAATAAATGTGTATAATAGAAATATATATAGAATTTGAAGCAGAAATAGGCAAAAATATGAGGCCTCTGCTACTCTGGTTTGAATCCTCAGTACTTCCTAGTGTCTTCCAGAATTAGACACCGCATTTTAATGGTGAGCCAGTGCAGGGAACACTGGATAGAACGAGGAGAGGGATGGGTGAGTCCTGGAGGAGCACCTCCGTCACTCTGATCATTGCTCTGTATTCTATGTGGGTGTAGAAACGCAGGCTAGTGCTACGTTATGGATTCATTCTGGAAAAGGGCTTCATCATTTGTTCACCTGGCTATTTCACCCCATCCATTACTTCTATCTACTGGATGCTTAATGTGGAGATAAAATACTTGATACATAGACTCTTAAGGGATTATTAAAGCAACTTTTCTCTTTTCAGCAAACTATTTCTCAAGCAGCTGCTGCAAAATATCCACGGACCATCCATCCTGAAAGTGTCACAGCATCTAGATCTCTTGGAAGCAGGTCAGCCCACACCCAGTCTCTGGCAAATGTTCAGTCCATAAAAGTGGTTGACTAAAGTGAACCTTTTCACACACACATCGTCATTCCTCTAACCGTTCCAGCCTTGTTAGAAGATCGTGGATACATCATGTTCATCTTTTCAAACTTACCTCTTTTGCAAGCTGTACCATCCTTTGTAACTATATGTAGAAAGTATTTTAATGTTATTTTTATTTAAACAATTAAGTAATGCTTCTTTAAATTAAAACATGAACTTCATTTGTAAATATATTCAGCCTGTTACTAGTTATATCCCTAGAGTTTATAAATCCTGTTTTCTATGCAGTGTTTTCTAAAACAATTATTTCCAGTGTTACTGACCCATAATTTACACAAAATTTTGACAGGGAACAGCACTAAAAACATTATAAATCTAATAAAAATTAAACTAAGGTATTTTTAAGCCAGGCATGGTGTTGCATGCCTATAATCCCAGTATCTGGAAGGCTGAAGTAGGAGGATCATGAGTTTGAGGCCAGGTTGGCTATATAGTAAGGCCCTAGGGGAGAGTGGAACAATATGAAAGGAAGTGGGGGCAGGGGAAGAAAAGAGGGAGGAGGGAAGTAGGAATAGAGGAAAACGAAGATATTTTTACTTTGAAGTGAAAAAAATAAAGACATGAATGGTAAAAGAGGGGAAGTTTTCACCATTAGCACCAAAATGAAGGTATAAAGCATCAGTAGGGAATCTCCTGTTAGAGCGACATGCCTCTGATGTTCTTCCTCCCTTGTTTGAAACTGCAGCACTGAGCCACACTGTCCTCTCTGAACAGAAACTAGCCTGTGTAGTGTAGACCTGCTGAGCTTGACAGAAACTTCAGTGGCTGCTCAGTACAAAGAAGTCATCTGGGCAGCTTAGGAACAAAAGAACTTCAGGCTTCTCCACCTGTCTGTGGCTGGCTGATTGCTCTTAGGCCATGGTCTTGGGCCAGTTTCAGTGTCATCTGTCTAGTAAGAGCATCTGCCACCCTGCCTGTTTGCATCTGTGTTTACAGGCACAGCAAAATAAGTCAGTTCTTAGCAGTCTGCTAGGACCTTCAGTCGTGAGAAACAGAGAAGCCACCACTTAAAAGTCCAAATTACGAGTCTTTATTGGAGAGCTGGAGGACTGTTGGTGGATTCCTCTCTCAAAGACCAGCAGCCTGGAATGCAGCTAGCACAAAGCTTATATAAGGCTCAAACCACATAAGGTGTGTGGAATTAAACCTAACAAAAGTGTTATACATGAGCAAAGCAAACCAGGTGAGGCCACTTAAATTATAGCAAATAGGGAGACATAAACTGATGAGAATTAATATTGATTTCACATTCATTTTGTAACCTTTTCAGATTGCAATAATGAATACTCCTAATGAAAACACTTCGATCATACCAAAAAGTAGCAAGAAAATTAAAGTCACCTGTAATTAATCAACCAAGAGCTTAAAAATACATTGGTGTATTTCTAGAATTTCCTAGGTAATACCATACTTCTCTGTGATTCAAGGTTACCAGTGACTATTTTCAAACAGAATTTCTGTTACCAAAGAGAATTAAAAATTGATTTCCAGGCCACGGGCTCCAGCCATCACGGATGTTCTTTCTTCATCCTCACTCTGACCTCTTAGAAGAGACATTTCCCCCATTTATACAGATGGAAATTCAATCTGAGAACTGAAATAATATTGATTCCCAGGCCTCATAGGTCCCAAGTGGGAACCCCAATTTCAAAACCACATCTATCTCTTCCAGCACTTGGTTTTCCCCATGTCACCATGCATGCTGCTTTGTTTCTAAACATGGACAAAGCCCTCCTAGATTATCTTGTTCATGGACTGCCCCATTGACAGAAATGAGCATCACATGCAACTTGCCTTGAACAAAAACCAAAAAGAAAACATGACTTTCCAGTGGTTGGGAAATCTAAAAAGTCCAGCCTCTTTGTCGTCAGCTCCAGGAACCTGTCAGTACTATCTTCATCACTGGGGGGAAAATCAACACTGCCGAATGAAACTCATGGCACAGACAGGACTGAATTTAAAAGAACCGGATGCTAAGTGTACTAAGAAGTTCCTGTAGGCATTTAAGAAACTACACATTTCTTGGAGCTGGAGTCAGATGAGCTTTTGAATTGGCGAATCTTTTCTGGAAAAAAAAAATAGGATACTAAGTATGATGAGTAGCTAATATTTCTAAGAATACTATGTGTTAGATAACATCACCCATTTTATTCCATGACAGCCCTTCGATGTAGATGGGCTCATTGCCTGCCCTAAGTTAATAGATAAGAACCCTGACATGGTGAGGAACCAAAACCTGTGGAAGGCCATACCGAAATGATTCAGTCCTGCTCCAGAGCACAAACCACCACTCCATGGTATTCCCTGAGAGTTCCTACAGAGACTGTTCCACAGGAAAGAACAAATTTAATGACGAAGGAAGCCCAGTGTTTAGAGGATAATATCCTGGGGTAGGTGTCGTCCATGAGCTACATGTACCTGAAACAATGCTGGACCAGTGGCCAGATTTATTCATTTATGCCTCAAATCCAGACAAAACTGCTTCTATGAAATAATGTCCCATACTTTGCTTCAATGGTGGTCTTTGTATGAGAGCTATAGTCCCACCTAATTTATTAATAACTTTTTGTTTTGAAGCCGGGCACCAGTGGCTCACGCCTGTAATCCTAGGTACTCAGGAGGCTGAGATCTGAAGACTGCAGTTCAAAGCCAGCCCGGGCAGGAAAGTTGTGAGACTCTTATCTCCAATAAATCACCACTCAAGTGGTAGAATGCTAGCCTAGAGCTGAAGAGCTGAGTGACAATGCCCAGGCCCAGAGTTCAAGCCCTATGACCAAAAAAAAAAATTGGTTTTGAGGTACTGGGGACTGAACTCAGGGCCTCACACCTGAGCCATTCCACCAGCCCTTATTGATAAGTTGTCAAAGAATTTTCCTTAGATTGTGCAGAGTAGTGTGTGTGTGTGTGTGTGTGTGTGTGTGTGTGTGTGTGTGTCTGTGCGCGCGCTTATGTGTGTCTGTGCGCGCATGTGTGTATGTTGCCAAAAATTGAACTCAAGGCCTATCACTCTACCACCTGATCCATGTCCCCAGTTCCTGAATGATTTTTATAATAACTTCAGCTGGCAAAGTATATAGATGTAACATTTTCACACATTGTCACCCCAACAGGGGTAAAACTTCTCAAGTGTAGGTGTAGAGACAGTGCTGTAACCTATAGCCCGCCATAGAAGAGAGTTTAGCATTTGTCTCCCACCCCCATTATCCACACCCGCGAATACACATACACAGAGACACTCCCACAATGCCCAGTCCAGGGTGAAACTGAGAACCATGGGGCTAACACAGGACCATTGTAAACTGGGCCGTTTACCAAAGGAGAAACTGCTGGCCAAGTATGCGCCCTTGGCAGAGCTTGCTGTTCCAGGGCTGTTTTGTCAACTGTCCCCCATCTCTTCACGCAGAGGGAGATTCTGTCTGGGGAACTGTGACTCACCAGCTAGTTCAGGAAAACCTGCACGCACCAGCTCTTCATACAGATGTTTGGCAGGGTGGGGCTGTGTCATCAGAGCCCCGTGCAGCCAGATGAGCAGAGCCCTGTGGCCATGCTCACGGAAGCTCTGGTTTCCTGTGCCAAGGGCAAGAGGTCGCATGAAACACCATAAGCGATGCTGCTTTCCAAGGTAACCTTGATTTTAAGTTGCCTCTACCACCTTGGCTGCCCACCCAATCAGACCAAGAGCCCAGAGCTGCAGGGAAGCCCTTCAGTTCCTGCCTGCTTCTGTCTGATGCCCAGAATCTGGATTCCTGGGGTCCTGCACCTCCTATACTAGAGTGCCCCTAAGGGAACACTCATGGAACTAAGCACATGCCATGTCTGTGGGTGGTGATGACAGTTTTTTGTTTTGTTACCAGTCCTAGGGCTTGCCCTGTCCCTGAGCTGCTTTTGCTCATGGCTAGCACTCTATCACTTGAGCCTCAATGCCACTTTCGGCTTTTTCTGTTTATGTGGTACTGGGGAATCGAACCCAAGGCATCATGCATGGAGGCAAGCATTCTACCATTAAGCCAACACCCCAGCCACGATGACAGTGTTAATGTGATGAGTTTTCTGTGATGGGAAGACAGCTGCTGTAATCAAGAGCATCTCCTGCCCCAAGTGTGTATGTCACTGGGCATCTCATTACCAGGACCATGCAGGTCCTGAGTCAGACCTGTAACAAGATTCTGTGCTGCCACTGATGGCCCAAATCTCATTATTGATTAAGGCCTCCCCTGTGTCTAGGAACTGGCTCTCAGGAAATTCTGCAACTCAGGTCGGGATTTCTCATTCTGTAACCCAGCTGCAGACAAACTCCTGACAGGTACACTGGGGAGATGCTGGGACATGACAGTGCCAAAGCCATTGTCACTCCTGAGAAGAGTTCACAGGATCGCACACCACCCCTATGACAGGGTCCTTACAGAAGCAGACAGATGGTCCTCCAAAAGAGACCCTGAGCTCTGGGGATGGGGTGTGGAAAAAAGTTGGCTCTTCAGACTTTACAGGGGCAAATGTTTCCAGAAAAGAAACTATGTGCATAAATAACGTAGTCCTAGGAAAGCAAATCCTCAGTTCTTTCCCTAATCTTGTTCCTAACTAATACTTCTTGTATACCATGTGCATGGCTTGTCTTCACTCGAAAGCCTACAATTCCCAACAAAATAACTAGATTATCAACATCAGTGTCACCATGTCAAAGAGATGGCAAAACCATCACATGAGCACATGGCTTAGACAACATGTATTCTAGCCCTGGTGGAGAGAAACACACTGCAGACCGTCCATAAATATTTTTATTTAATTATTAACTTGATCATTGCTGTGCTGGAGACTGATCTCAGGGCCTCACACTATGCAGGCTGCACCTGTAGTCCTACTCCTAAAGATTTAACTGAACAACTTTTAAATCTTCCTTATTCTGTGGGGAAGTATTGTAAGTCAAGAGAGATTTCTAAAAGACAGCTCAATTTTCTTGAAGGCATCACAGAACACCCTATGCCTAATTAATTACCACGCAGAAATCTTAACAAAATGACAAAGAAGAAATCTTATTTAAAAAAAAAGAAATCTTATTTTCTTTTTACAGCTAAAGTTTATTTGAATATGAAATGAAAGCCTTAAAAGGAAGAGATGGACCCCAAAGAGGAGTCCTCAGAAATCTTTTCTGAAGCTAGTTCATCTCTATTTTTTTTAGTACATCATCAGCATTAGTTCCTATGGAGATGGGCCCTTCGAATTAGTCATGCAAAGTCCCATCGTTTGCTTGGGTGTGATGTGTGTGCTCACAGGTTTGTGATTCTACCATCTAATTCCTACCAGCTGTGTACCTTACCCACAGACCAAAGCAACAGACCAACTGATTGTGGGCAGAAAAAGTCCTCCAAAACTGTGGGTCAGAATAAACCTTTTCACCTTGTAAATTATCTCAGGCATTGTGTTGTAGTAACAGTTAATCAATCCTGATGGAAATCCAAAAGCAAATAGGAAACTACATAAAGTCCATGAATAAAATGAATATAAAGACATAAATTAGCAAAGTTTGAGATTTGTGGTTCTTCCATTTCTCTCTTTCCTAAATGGAGTGCTGACTGGATGGAAGAGGACTGAGGTTCAAGCTGGCCCTAACTAAAATGATGATGATAATAACAATAACCAAAACTAAATAGGCTGGGAACACAGTGGTAGCAGCAGGAGTGGGAAGGTCTAACAAAGAGGGTGATGGGAATGAATAAAGTCAAAGCAGGTGTATTTGCTCAGGAAATAGAGGAATGCACCTGCTGAAATTGTTTTAAGGAGGACAGTTGGGATGGGGGAGAGGGAGAGGGAATGAGGTTTGCCATTGTTTACATGTGTAAAAACGTTTCGGTGAAATCCATTTGTACAATTAATATGTGCCAGCTTAAAAAAAAAAAAAGCATTTCAAGGGACACTGTCTTACCAGGGACAGGCCAACTGTTCAAAGCCTTAATGGCGTGATGCCATTCAGCCAGGAGCCTTGGTTTCTTTGGTGGCCTGCTCCTGCTATCTCCTGTGGTCCAGTGAAAGCAGTCACCCCTCTGCACATGCAGCTTACTACAGCTCACCGAGACATGAGCTCTGCACACTTACCAACCACAGCTGTCTGTCCCTCTCCCACATCCCGGGCTCATTGTGGGGAGCCAGGCACTGACTGGGAAGAGGGAGGGTGCTATCCCCCCCACCAGCTGATCGGTCCACACTCACCTGACCACTGGGCCTCAATGGCTCTGATCTGGTCATCTGTAAAGCTCCACAAGCGGGCCAACCTCTGCCACTCATTAACTTGCAGCTGCCGATAAGCCAGGTTCCAGAGAAGTGTGCGGATGTGTCTCGTCTCCGGGCTGTGGTCTTGCTTGAATGTCAGAGTGAAACCTGCTGAGGGCTCCCCAGTGCTCTCCTCATGCTCCTAAATTGAAAAATTATTTCAGGCATGATCACTTATTTCAGAGTTTGTATGTTCCACATATAATTGCTAAGGTGGTAGCCAGGACTTCTTTCAGTGTTATTTGTCCTGGGTCTTTTTGTTTTTTACTCATCCAAAATAGAGACAAATGTCTTGAAATTAAAAAGAAAAAGTTTGAATAGAAGCTGGGCATGGTGTAATCCCAGCTACTGTACAGACAGAAAGGTCTTGAGGCTGAGGCCAGCAGGAAGAGGAGGAGAAGGAGGAGGAGGAGGAGGACAAAGAGGAAGGAGAGGGAGGAAGAGGGGGGGGGAGGAGAAAAGGGGGGAGGGGAAGGAGAGAAAGAGGGAGGGGGAGAGGAGGGAAGAAGGGAAAGGGGAGGGGGAAAGGAGGGAAAAAGGGGAAGGGGAGAAGAGAGAAGAAGGGGAAGGGGAGGGGAGAGGAGGGAGAGGGAAGGAAGAAGGGAAGGAGAGTGAAAATAGAAGAGAGAAGAGAAAAGGAAAAGAGATGAGAAAGGAGAAAAGAAGAAAAGAGAAAGAAGAGAATAGAAGATACTCCAATAGTAGCATACTCATCTAACATGGGCGAGACCCTGGGTTCAATCCCCTGTAACCCACCCACCCACCCACCCACACACACACACACACACACACACACACACACAGGTACTGTGCAGCTATCAGAAAGTGGGAAGGATTTTGCAATGTTTTGTCCCATGCTGACTTCAAAAGACCAGAGAGATGTAATGACAAAGGAAATGTCAAAATGATAAACATGTTTAATGGCCTTACTTTCAACTCCTCTCCCCTATCTTCTTTTGGGTATTTAATTTTCAAGTATCAAGGCTTCAGTTTGAGGCCAAACATGGTGGCTCAGGAGGTAAAGATCTAAAGGTCTGTGACTAGAGGCCAGCTTGGGGAAAAAGTTAACAAAACCCCATCTCAACCAAGAAACTGGGCATCTCAGCTGCACAGGAGACCAGCCCCAGTCAAAAATTCAAGACCCTTTCTGAAAAATAACTAAAGCAAAAAGGGGCTGAGGGTGTGGCTCAAATGAAAGAAAACTTGCTTAGTAAGCAAGAACAAGGCTCTGAGTTCAAACTGTCATATTGTTTTTTTAAAAATTCAGTTCCTTAGGGCTGGGAAGGTGGCTCAGTGGTAGAGCGCTTGCCTTGCATGCATGAGGCCCTGGGTTCGATTCCTCAGTACCACATAAGCAAAAAGAAAAAGCCGGAAGTGGCGCTGTGGCTCAAGTGGTAGACCCTAGCTTTGAGCTGAAGAGCTGAGGGACAGTGCCCAGGCCCAGAGTTCAGGCCCCACAACCGGACCCAAAACAAAAAATTCAGTTCCTTAATAAGTCATCATAAACTGGCCCTAAGCTAGGGAAAACAGTAAATTGCTAGTCTGCCAAAAAAAAAAAAAAAAAACAACTAGTTGGAAGAGTAACACAAGCTAGAATTGCTAGAACTTAAAACAGCATAAGCTAGATTTTAAGAAGTTCCCTCTAACCACCGAATTTAATAATGGGTGATTGGTTAGTTACACACACACACATACACAAACACACACACACACACACACACATCAAGTAGACATTTAATTTGAAATAATCTACCATAGATATAGGATATATAAATCGATAATGGATACAAGAAAGGAACTTTAAATGACTATTAGGAATCATTTTATATTAGTCCAGGATACAACATGTTTGACAGACAAAAGACAATTTGAAATAATTATAAATGCATTTGGTGTAAGTAAAGCTGTATCTTAAAAACAAGATTTCCTCTTAGCACAGATCTGAAGACCCAGTTACCGGTTAACATGTCCTCCAGCCTGTGAGGCTGTATTTGCACATTCTATACTGTTTTCAATGTTTATCTAACATCATTAACATCTGTTAGAGGAAAAAAAGGTTTATCCATTTAATGGAAATACTATAGTCTCATTTGGCAAAAGAATCAAAGAATGCCACCAGGCATTAAAAACCTAGCCAGTGAGTCTTTCTATTCTCGGACAAAATGTAGGACCCACTAAAGAGCAAGAGAAAAGGCAGAACTTGGTAAAGTTGTCTTTAATCAACTACAGCAACAATTTAAGAAAATGTACATAAGGAGAAAGCAAACAGGCAAAGGTAAAAGGAGGAACACAAAAATAGGAAGGGAGTGAGAAGGAGAGGCTACACAAAGAATTATAATGTTAAAAAATGTTTTTTAAAAAAGTTTCACAGGCAAAGCAATTTTTTGTGATTTTGTTTTCACCATTGTTTTGTTTAGGGGCTTGGCTTCATTTTTTTGTTGGTGGTTGTTTGTTGCCATCGTTCTACAAGCAAGAAAATCTACAAGGATGGCCTTTACAAGAATCCGGGTACTGTCATGTGCCATATAACTTAGATTCTCATCAACACAGTCCCTGGATGGGTGACAGTGGTTGTACCACCTAGCTTTGGTGATAAATGGCCTATGAAATCCACATGGCTTATGAAATCACACTGCTTAAGGAGACACTTCTCAAGGTTGTAAGGGAGATGCACCCAATAAATGCTGCTGCTCTGAGGACTTAAGAAGCTTCTCAGAATGGACTAATAACAGCAGTCCAGGCCTGCATGGAGGACCTGCATTGGCCCATGGGCCTAAGCTGTCGGGTAAGGACGTCCTGTCTTCTGGTAAGGTCATCCTGCCTGCCGGAGGCCCAGACTTCAGTGTGCAAGGCGAGGGCAGTTGACCTAGAAGCTGTGAGAGGAACAGATACCAGAGGAGTAAAAAATGAAAGAAAGGCAAAGAAGTGACCTAAAGACAAGGTTTTCGTGTCCTTGGATGAGTTTCATGATTGTCACAGAACACTTGAGTGTCACACAGCCCCTAGGGGCAGGGTGAAAACTGCAGACACAACAGGAGCATCTTTAGGACCATAGCCAGAGACCGTGGGGCAGACGGCATAGCGAGGACTCAGCCCCACAAGCTGCAATCCTAGGCTCAGGAGAGCCCATCTGGACCGGGCTGCTGGGCCCTGCAGGGCCTCCACCCACCGTCAGTTCTGTTGCTGATGTCAGCAGAGGCACAGGAGAGAAGCAGCGGAAGCGAGGGGCAGAGGGCCCGTCATTGCCTAGGCACCACACTGCCAGGAAGGCAGGGGTTGCTGGAAGAGTCCGGGCTGTGCCATACAGGCCTTCCTTACCTCTCTCCAGGCATAGTACCTCTCGGCTTTAATGAGCATGTCCACCACTAGGCTGTGATTGCTCCTGGACGCCACAGCCAGGGCAGTCTTTCCTTGCTGAAATTTTTAAAAGAAAATAAAAGCAATGACTTGGAAAAAATTACATTAAGTGAAGTAAGCCAGGCCCAAGAAACATAGGTCTCACAGTTTCCCTTATTTGCTGTAACTAGTATATGTCTAGGACCAGCAGAAAAGGTCAAAAGTTATGCATATATGACCATGTAAGATGATGCCAAGCGAAATGAACCCCAACATAGGGACACAAGTGGTTTTATCTTTCTTGCTGTTGTTTTTAATGTATATATAATGTACCATGTGGTTTTTTTGTTTCTTTTGTATGTTCTTCCCCCATGGTATAACCCTTATTTTCACTGTATTTGATTCCAGTTCCCTGCATCTTGTATATACACTTTTCTAAATTGGGGAATGGAAGGGAAATTAAAAAATGCTGAAATAAGGATACAGGTTAACCCACTGTAACAATGAGATGTGCAAGACACTATGTTGAAAATGAACTTTACAACTTTAGGGTTGGGGGGCGAGGAGGGAGGAGTTGGGGGAGAAGAGATGATAGGGGGAAAACAAAGAAGGAGGTAAAAATGCTCAATAGGAAATATACTCATTACCTTACTCATGTAACTGTAACCCCTCTGAACAGTATTTTTACAATTAAAAATACATACAAAAAGAGAAAAGGTCAAATGGTTTGGCTTGGTAGTTAGGAAGTCGAGTTTGGGAACAGGGACCTAGGTTCAGATCCTCACCCTACCATTCCCTTGTTGAGTGAATTTGGGCCAGTCCTGCATTTCAGTTGCAGCCAGGGCTGGGGGTACATGTGATAATACATATAAAATCCTTGGGACCCAAACCACTCTTCACATTTTCTAGCCTCCCTTGCAATTGTGTATGGGACCCATGTTATGACCAATGCTGTAATAATGGAAGGGCAGAGATAACTTCCAGGAAGTACTGTTGTCAAGAAGAGAAATTGGTCACTAGTAGCTCATGCCTACAATCCTAGCTACTTAGAAGGCTGAGATGGAAAGGATTGTGGTTTGAGGCTAGCCTGTGGAAAAAAGTTCATAAAAGCCCCTTATTGACCAATGTCTGGAGATGGTCATGTATGCCTATAATCCTGGCTTTGTGGGAAGTATAAATAGGCAGGTCACAATGCAAGCACATGCCAAACCCTATCTCAAACATAATCAGGAAGAAGAATAAGGAGGAGGAGGAGGAGGAGGAGGAGGAGAAGGAGGAAGAGGAGGAGGAAGAGGAGGAGGAAAAGGGAGACTAGAGTGGTGGCTTGGTGGTATATCACCTGCCCAGCAGGCCCTGAGTTCAAGGCCCAGTACCAGAAAGAGGATGGGAAGGGAGGGTTATGCTTCCTGAATGGAATGCTGCCAGGATGTCAGGAGCTTGAACAGCCACTTTAGACCAGGAAGTGGAAGCCATGTTTTGAGAAGGGACTCGATCTTATTAAAAACAGTATCACTAATGACAGCAAACCCAATTCACAGTAAAAATTCAGCTCACAGAACAACTCTCTAAAATTCTTTTCTATTGTAACACAGTTCCTCTAACAAAGGGCAGAGGATTCCAGTCTTAACCAAATGGGATGAGCAAAAAGCCCAGTCCTGGACATGATGGTGTCCTTTACAAATGACAAAAAGGCCCATCTTTCTCAAGACACAGAAATCTCAAAGCCAGGCACATAGATTTGTACAGAGTACCCCTTCAGTGATACACAGTACACAAACCTTTATGTCTCGCCATTTTTCCCTGACAAAGGACAATAGCTCTTCTTTGCTTTTCAAAGGGCCCATACAGAATCCTGAAGATAAACTCGGGTACCAGTGGCTCATGCCTGTAATCCTAGCTACTCAGGAGGGTAAGATCTGAGGATCGCGGTTCAAAGCCTGTCCAGGCAGGTTAAGTCTGTGAAACTATTATCTCCAATTAACCACCAGAAAACTGGAAGAGGTACTCTGGCTAAAAGTGGTAAAGTGGTAGTCTTGAGCGAAAAAGCTCAGGGAAAGTGCCTGGGCCCTGAGTTCAAGCCTCCACACAGATGAAAGAAAAAGGGAAGGAAGGAAGGAAGGAAGGAAAAGAATAGAAAGAGAGAAGGAAAAGAAAAAGAGAGAAGAAAAAACAAGAAAAGAAAGAAAAGAAAAAGAATCCTGAAGATAATTTAAATTAATGGCTAGAGAGGGGAAAAAAAAAAAAAAACCTCCAGGATTTATTCAGATCCTAGGAACCTGTGTTTCTAATGCAACGAATCCAACTTATCTCAATAACTCTCTTACACTGTGGTTACTGGCCTCAAGTCCAATTCCCACCCACAAATGATTTCATGATTAGTCCAGGCACTAAGACCCAGGTGAGCTGGAAAATTAGGGCTGAAAGTAATCAGCCTCTAATCAAAAGAGACAGTAATGAAATTAGGAAGAGCTGCATTTTGCAGGCACTTAGCAAGCCTCTAATTGCACGCTGTCTAAACTCTGGCTTGTAAAGCCATTTGAATCACCATAATTAGCCTATTTTGGGAAGGCAGCATTCTGCAAGCCAGAGTTTTCAAGCTCATTAGAAAATCTCCATAGGAAGTGCCGCGGGGAGGGAAAGCGCAATGCTTCCGCTCTTGAGGAAGCCAGGGAATGGAGGCCCCCTGGAAGCTCCAGGACCACTAGACCCACAACACTGGCTCCAGGAAAGTCTAACCTGTACCAAACCTTGGCTCCTTGTTTCCTGTCTAGATCTTAATGAGGTCTTAGAAACACATCTTCCGTTTAAAAAAATAAAAATAAGACTTTTAAGAGTAGATAGAAAAGGTCGCTCATTCAGTAGTAAAAATATGCTCTGGGTGCCAACTATGTGCTGAACTCTGAAAGAAAGAGGAAGAGAAAATAAACTGTAGCAAGTCTGCTAGCCCTGCCTGGCCTTTTGTTCTGAGAACAAAGTGAAGTGGTAACTAAGGGACGTGGTGAACTGGATGTCCAGTGACCCGGATGTCCGGCTCCACCAGCTCCAGCTCTAGCCAGCCCATAAATTCCTCCTCCATGGGCTTCTCTACACCCAAAACAGCTGTGCAGCCAGTAGATGTGAATGAAGGTGCCTTATTCTATAATAAGGCACTTACAAAGTAATGCCCAGGAAAATACTAACAACAAATATTAAACTTAACTAGCCAGCTGGATGGGAAGTGAGGGTGTGGCTCTGTTTTTCTTCCTTGTGCTTTTCAGGTCTCATTAGCCACGGTGGCCCTGTATTACTTTAACTTTTTTATTGTTACTATAAAGGTGATGTACAGAGTAGTTGTAAATTATGACTACATGTCTTTTTGGACAATGTCACCTCGTCCTTCGTTCTCTCCTTGTATTACTTTTATGATAAAGATACAACAACCTACTAGGCTCCGATGACTCACACCTGGAATGCAAGAGGAAGCTGAAATCTGAAGATCATGGTTCGAAACCAACCCAGACAGTAAAGTCCATGAACTCTTATCTGCAATTAACCCTCAAAGAGCCAGAAGTGGAGCTGTACCTCAAGTGGTAGAGTATTATCCTTGAGCCAAAACAAGCTCAGGGACTGTACTCAGGCCCTGAGTTCAAATCCCAGGACCAGCCCAAAGAAACAAAAAATAAAATGTTGTAGGAGTATTTCAGATTGTACAAGCATAAAATGTGAGATTCTACAGAACAGCATGAATGAGGGAAGTGCTTTGCCACAGGACTCTGGGGTCCCCTAGCCAGGAACCCTACAAGAGCCTTGCAAGGTCCAGAGTTGGAGTGCAGCTCAGTAGAAGAGTCCCTGCTGAGGCCCTTGGCTCTGTCTCACTGAAGTGTTAACATGGTCAATTTGGGTCAGGCACAGAGCGTCACGTGCCTATCATTCCAGTTATTCAGGAGACATAAACAAGAGCATCCTGGTCCAGGCAGCTGAGACTATATTTAAAAAATAACTAAGACAAATAAGAACAACAAAAAATACCACTATTAACTAGTAATGAAATAAATAATGACCAACTAGCTAAATGATAAATAAAGCTGAGAGTATGGCTCAAATGGTAGACGGCCTACCTAGCAATTGGTAGGTCCTGAGTTGAAACTCAGGGACTTCCAAAGACCAAACCACAAAAAGATGGTCAATTATATTTTAGGTATATTTCACTACAATTAATATGCAGTGAAAAGTTTAAAAACAAGTATAGACATGGGTACATTTACTCGTTGCAGTTACATTTATTCATTGCCACTCTGGCAAAAGCTTAATAACAACTTCAATACCTATTAGTTGAAGATTAAACAAGTGTTAAAATGCTCATGCAACTTGTAAAACTCATGAAGAAACCATTAATGTTTATATATAAAGAACTCTAAGAAAACTTTGAGGGGGGGAAGCTAAATTCAAAATAATATGTTAAAATAATGTATTACTAACATTAATAACTATTTCATTAATAGTTCATAATTTATCTTAAAAAGCGGAAAGAATAGAATAAAGGCTCATACATTTATGTTTGTATATGCATAAAGAATTCAAGAACAAAAGACATATACATATGGCAAGGTAAGCTGGGAGCCATAGAAGTAGTGTCTGGGTGCGAAATTTTTACTATACAATGTTTTCTAGTTGTTTACGTATATATTCATACACACATATACATACATGTATATATACATATATATATAAATGTATATATGTATATATATATGTGTATATATATATATATACATATATATATTTGGACCATGTAAAGTTCTAATCTTAAAAAAATAGTAAATACATTGAATCTTTTAAAAATTCTTTATTATTTAGGATAAAAGTTATTTCTGACAAGCCAGTGGCTCTTGCCTGTAATCCCAGTGACCTGGGATGCTCAGAACAGGAGAATTGCAGTTTGAGCACAATCTGGGCAGAAAAGTCTGTAGCTGGGAGTAGTGGTGTGCTCCTTCCACCCCAAGCTACCTGGAGGCTGAGATCGGCAGGATCTCAGTACCAGGCTACTTCAGGCATCAAAGAGATTGGCAGGATCTCAGTACCAGGCTACTTCAGGCATCAAAGTCTCCACAGAAGGAAGCTGGACACAGTTGCTTGCCTGTGATCCCAGTGACTACAGATCAAGTCTAAAGATGTAGGAGGAGTGTGGCTCAGGTATATGCTTGAGTGGAAAGCAAGAGCCTGTCCTAAAAATAGATCCATGAAAAATCAAGGTTGGAGGCATGGCTCAGCAGTAGAGCACCCGTCAGGTGAGCTGGAGGATCTGAGTTCAAACCTGTACCAGAGCTCAATGGAAACTGAGATGTGTTCCTGACTGGGAAGACATGTCTCTAGTCAATGACCATTTCCCCAAGGGAGGGCTGCTGCTCACACACAGCCCACGGGGAGGGCTTAGCTGCTACCCCAGTGACCAGACGGAAGTGTGTGCTGTTACCTTGTCGGTGAGCTTCAGGTGACAGCCTGCCTGCAGCAGAGCCTCCACCGCCTCCACGTTTCCGAGGTCCGCAGCTATGTGCAGAGGGGTCCGCTGCCTCTGCCACGACAAGATTTACAGGGACAACTGCAGCTGGGAAGAAGGCAAGGTGTCTTCCACACACAAGGGGAAGGAGAGCAGGCAGGATGGGCTTAAGGCAAAACGGATACCCTTATATTTTTCACACGGCTACAGGGGACAGTCCTTCCATATTGTTTGTAATGGTGAAAATATCTGAGGAAGTGAACTAACAGAGACCTATTAGATAAACCATGGAACAGCTCTATATTGGAATAGTAGATGCCCATGGAAAACAATGGCAGAACTGGCACATTGTGCACCAGTCGTCCCACTTAGGAGGTAAGAGTAGAGGATCAGTCAGCCAAAGGTTCAAGGACAGCCTGGGCAACATAGTAAGACTCTATCATACATTCGCACACACACATTTTAAAAAATGCGGTAGGTACAGTAGTCAAATCCACAGAAATAGAAATCATAATAATAATAAATGGTAGTTTCCAGGGTCTAGGAAAGAAAGAAATGGGAGTTATTGACCTAGAGTTATTCGCACTGGAGTCCCAGTGAGAAGAAATTAAAGCCTAAGGCCAGCTCAAGCAAAAAAGGCAGTGAGACCTCATTCCAGTAAACAAAGCCAGGCATGGTAGTACATGCCTGTAATCTCAGCTATGGAGAAAGCATAGGTAGAAAGATTGTGGTCTAAAAAAAATGTGAGTTCTTATTTGAAAAATAACTAAAGCAATATAGATTAGAAGCATGGCTCAAGTGGTAGAGCATCCGCCTAACAAGTACGAGGCACTGAGTTCAAACCCTGAGTTCAAAAAACAAAAACTAAAAAAGTGAAAACAAAAAAAAAATTTTAAGTTCTGAGATAGAGGTGAGGAATACTAATACCTCATTATACACTTAAAAGGCATGCATTGGTAACTTTTGAATAATATGTGTTTGCCAAACAATTTTGAAGACAAATGTACAGTATAATTTTAGAATCAATAACACTATAACGAATCTTAATTTAAGAATGTAGATTTAGGGCTCGGTAGATGAGTTAGTGGCAGACTGCTTGCCTAATATGCACAAAGCCCTGGGTTCAATTCCTCAGTACCACATAAACAAAAAAAGCTAGAAGTGGAGCTGTAGCTCAAGTGGTAGAGTGCTACCCTGGAGCACAGAGAGGCTAAGGGACAGTGCCCATGCCCTGAGTTCAAGCCCCAGGACTGGCAAAAAAAAAAAAAAGAATGTAGATTTAAAGCTAGACATAGTGACTCATACCTGCAATCCCAGGTATTTAGGAAGGTCATGAGTTCAGGGTCATCCTGGGCAAAGTTGAGACCTGTCTCAAAACCAAAATAAAAGCTGGACACTGGTGGTTACTCCTGTAACCCTAGTTACTCAGGAGGCTGAGATATGAGGATCATGGTTCATAGCCAGCACCGGCAGGAAAGCCCATGAGACTCTTATCTCCAATACACCACTCAGAAAACCGGAAGTGGTGCTGTGGCTCAAGTGGTAGAGCGCTAGCCTTGAGCTGAAGAGCTGACGGACAGCGCCCAGGCCCAGAGTTCAAGCCCCCACAACTGACAAAAAATAAAAATAAAATAAAAACAAAGCTGTGCTGGGAACATGGCTAAGTGGAAAAGTACTTGCTTAGCATGGGAGAGACCCCAGGTCAATCTCTACTACCACAAAACCCCAAAGGTATACATGGAGAAGAAGAAGAAAATGGTTCACATTAAAAATGACAATGTCTAGATGATAGCGGAGGTTGGCTTTACTGCCTTCTTGATGCTTTTCTGTTTTCTAAATTTTCGACACTGTAAGCCTTGTGGGTGCCAGGCAAACTCTATCATTTGAGCCACATATCCCAGCCCAACTTCTAGTTTTCATTTTGTTTGTAAGTGCTAGTCCCGAGGCTTGAACTCAGAACCTAGACACTGTCTTGAGCCTTTTTGCTTAAGGCGGGTACTCTACCACTTCAGACATTCCAGCTTGTAGGTGGTTAATTGGAGATATGAGTCTCATGGACATCCCTGCCCAGCTGGCTTCAAATCATGATCCTCAGGGGTTGGGGATTTAGCTCAATGCAAGGCTCTGAGTTCAATCCTCAGCTCTGAAAAACAAAACAAAATAGAGCACCCACAAAAAAAAAAAAAACCTGTCATCCTCAGATTGCAGTTTCCTGAACAGCTAGGATTATCAGCGTGAGTCACCAGCACCTTAATAGCTTCTAGTACTTAACAGGGTAAACATTTTGCTGTCAAAAGGGTGAGTGTTTCAAAGAAATACAGAAAAACACAAGAAAATTATTTATCAGATCCTCAGTTGGATGTTATTGCAGAGGTATTTATCAAACACCATGAAGGGGCTGGGAAGATGGCTCAGTGGTAGAGCGCTTGCCTTGCATGCATGAGGCTGTGGGTTTGATTCCTCAGCACCACATAAGCAGAGGAAAGTCGGAAGTGGTGCTGTGGCTCAAGTGGTAGAGCGCTAGCCTTGAGCTGAAGAGCTGGGGGACAGCGCCCAGGCCCAGAGTTCAGGCCCCATGACAAAAAAAAACCCACAAAAAACAAAAAACACCATGACAGAAAGGAACTTTGTAGTTGTCTAGCTCATCCTCTTAACCAGAAAGGGGAAGCAGTGACTCCAAGGTCACACAGCTGACCACAGCCAGAAGTGCAGCTCTGGAGAGCTTGCTGAGAGCTTCAAAAACCATTTATAAGATTCACCAGCAGATGGCAGTGTGCTCCTCTTGCGGCTCATCTCTCTAGGCATCACACTTAAACTGACAAATCTACCTAGGGTCTGTCGCTATACCAACTCAGAAAAACAAACACAAGCTCCTCTAAAGATTGTTCACATCATAAAATGAAGATCTCCCCACAAAAGCAAATTTCAACGTTGTCCAAGATTCTTGGGTTTAAAATTGTGTTTTGTTAAGTCGATGGCTTTGTGGAGCTTTGAGGCCCTAACAGGTCAGCAGTACCAAGGTTCCTTTAAATTTATCTGTAAGCTGCACATTGGCACGCATGCTTTCCAGATGGCAGCTGCGGTCAGTAACCTCACCACTGATGACTTTTGTGCATGCTCCTTGACCTCCACCTACAGGACAGGCCAATTTTAACCTAAGACAGGTGCCTAAATGGTTTCACCACCTTCACCAAACTGTTTGATTTTGCAGCTCTGCATTGTTTATTTCTATTTCTAATGAAGCATTAAAAAAAATTCAAAATCTCATCTTGACAATACTGCTAAAGTGGCTAGAAGAAACGATACATGCCAAAATGTTAACAAGAGTTACCTTTCTCCATGGGGACTACATTTAAAGGTTTGTTGTTAGTTTTTTTGAAAGCACGTGTATATGTTCTATTTCACATAGTCTACTTGTAAAATATGCTTTTCTTATTTTAAAGGTAGAATGGCAGTTCTCACACACAAAAAAAGTTTGCAATGATAAAGTCGTTCTGTCACTGGACAGCTAGCTTGACATACACTCCTTGCTGGAAAACCACATTGAGCACAGGGCTCTGGCTGTGTCCTTAGCAAAGAATTTGCTCAGTTGGATAGACTCAGGGCATTAACATAGCTGAATAAATAAGAAGTACCCTAATAACAAGAGATGCCCCTTACCCTCCAATTTCGGGGCTTTTTAGTAAGACTCAAGGATGCAAGATTTGCTGGAAGAGCAAAGGGGTGAAGATATGTCTCCCTGCAGGTCAGGGCAAAAATTAACCCTGAGGAGGCTGCAGAGACCTGAGGAAATGGAGACCACATTGGAAATGATCCAGAAGGAGCAGGCAGGCCCACTGCCCTCTGGACACTACTTAACTTGGAGAGCACAGCTGGAGCTTCTCTGAGGCCTACAGCCCCCAAAGCCGCATTTGGCCTCAGCCCCAGGAAAGGCTTCTCTTCCCACTTCCAGGGTCCCTAGGAAGAAGGCCTGCAAGGGTGGGAGGAGGGTAGGCAGATCCCAGCCCACCCCTTTATTATTCCCCTTTCCATTTCCATTCAGCCTCAGATTGCTTTATGAGGCATCTGATTCTGCTCCAGTTGATTGGGCTCTGATGGATTTTTGTGTTTTTGTTTTTTGTTGTTGGTTTTTTTTTAAATTCCAAGAGAGCTCTTTGCCTTTGGGCACAGGAAAACTTGCTTAGTGCCTCTAATGTGGAAACAAAGCTTCCTTCTTACTGCTAAGGGCTCCCTGCCAAGGACAGCATTTCACACTGCTGGAGTGGCTTTTGATTTAAAGGGCCTCTGGTAATTTACCTCTGAGCGAGGGTTTATCGTAAAGTGCTAGCTATAGCTGTGCAAGGTGAATTTAATCACACCCTGGCTGAACTCTAGGCATGCATCTGCAAATGAAAAGAGGGATCCTGCTCAGCGTGGTAAGGAGGCTGCAGAGAAAAAGGTTGGAAAGGACACACATGATCTTCCCAACGCCTTGAACTTGATCAGAATTCCCCATAAACATAGTGTTGCAACATGAGAAAACACACAGACCAGATATGGTGTGGTTGGCTTACCTGATCTAAGATGTCTGTAGCATGCTGTGCACGTAATAAGATGTTTACAACTGTGATGTTGTTGTGGATAACTGCTAAGTGAAGCGGGGATTCCTGAGGCTGCAGAAAGAAAGCAGAATTTCAGATCCAAATCATTTTGTCTGGCTTCATCCTTCAAATCACAGGGCAACTCACTTCAGCAGACATTTTCTGAGAAAATCTTGAGTATTAAAATTGCTCATGCTACCAGGTATGGTAGTATACTCCTGTAATCCTATCACTTAGAAGAGGCAAGGAGGAGCTCTAGTTCTAGGCCAGACTGGACGCTATGAGAGCCCTGTCTTAAAAAAAAAAAAAAAAAAAAAGTCCAACCCAGTGATAGGCACATAGTAAGTGTTTGGCATTCATCATCTAAAGCTACCTTGAAAGTATACTACTATCCAGCCATCAGCTCTGCCCTCAGTCACCCTAGATCTATATTCTTTTTTTGGGGAGGGGGGATCGGGTCATAGGGCCTGAACTCTGGGCCTGGGCGCTGTCCCTCAGCTCTTCAGCTCAAGGCTAGCACTCTACCACTTGAGCCACAGCACCACTTCTGGCTTTTTTCTTTTTTGCTTATGTGGTGCTGAGGAATCGAACCCAGGGCCTCAGGCATGCAAGGCAAGCGCTCTACCACTGAGCCACCTTCCCAGCCCCTAGAACTATATTCTTAGCAAGGAATATGGGCCAACCTCCAGCCTTTTTCCCAATGCCAAGTTTTCTCTATCACTTGAGCCAAGCCTCCAGTCCAACTTTTTGCTGACTCTTTTGGAGATGAAATCTTGTGGACTTTTCTGCCTCTGTCCTATGGGATCTCAGCCTCTAAAGTAGCTAGAGTTACAGGAGTAAGTCACCAACACCAAATTTTCCTATTCATTCATTTTTTAGCAACTGCCTGGCAAGCCTAAGGCCCCGAGTTCAAACCTCAGCACCCTGGATCCTGGGGCCTTGCACATGCTAAACAAGCACTCTCTTACTGAGCAACCCCAGCCCCAGACACTTTTAAACAGTAAGTTAATTCAGAGCTGTTCTGAGTCTAATCTCTAGAGTTACACCTAAAATCCCCACTTTTTAGGGTCAGTAATGAGGCCAGAGAACAGAAAAAAGGCAAAGACTGAGCTCAGGCCTCTCTCACTTTACCACCTGTATAGGCTCTCTCCCAGGACACCAGAAGACTGACAGAAGAGAGATGTAATGAACTGGGAAGTGTTCCCCCAGCACACAGTGAAAGAGGAGAGATGGGACAGTTAGGAGAGTATGGGCTGAGTAAGGGAAAAGAGAAGGTGGTGCCTAGGGAAGTGGGTCCTCTTTGTTTAGAAATAACCTCCTCCTTGGAAACAGCAAGCATGATAAAAGAGAAATCAGCCCTTGTCTCAACCAAGTGGTCAGAGTCCTTCTTGCCAGGCCCACCTGCCTTGCTGGGGCCTCGCTCTTCCAGAGAAACAGGAAGCATTCTCTAGACTCACTGTGGTAAATTCGGAGCCAATTTTTCCTAACTATACTCTCCAGAAATGATCAGCTATGGGTCAAATCACCTGCTTCCTTCCAAGTCAGTGTAAGTCGTAATAGCTCTGCAAGGTCAGAGGAAATAATACTCCCAGAAAAGAGATGAAAACACAATGCAGAATAGAGGGCACAAAGGGGCCTTTGTGAATTCTACCAAAGCTAGTTCAGACTTCAAAACACCTTAATCAGTGTCAAGGTTTCCCTTATCAAAGAAAGCCAAGATCCTTCGGTGGTCATTCTTCATAGTTAGTGCAGGTTCATCATTTTTCCCCAGGCCTATGAGGTTACGACACACAAGTCATGGTCCCTCTGGACACGTGAGAAAGTGTTATCCACAAAAATACGAAGATTTAAAACACGAAAGATTTTTACTTTGTTCACGAACTTTCAATAGCTTTCTACCATTCACCCCTTAGGTTTTCTTTCTCAAGATTAAGAGACTGATTTTCCAAAACAGTGAGCCAGCATTCCCTGAAAGAATCCCTCCCTTGTGAACCATAGCCATCCTGAACATGTATCGTGGATGACATCTCTGGGCCCAGACAGCCTCCCAGGCGCCAGGACCAGATCCCGTATTAACTGGAATAAACTCACTTCCATCCTCAGGTGCAGATCAATGTTCTCACTAAGAAGAAAGTTGACAAGGGATGTGTGGCCATTCCGGATTGCTATCTGTAAAACGCTGACATGGAG